CATCTTTAATGACATATAATATCAAGACAAGACACTAACGGATCCACAATCCATTGTTGATGAATTTGCTTCTTATTTTGCCGATTCCTTCACCACATCTTTAAATAATATTAAAGTGTGTGAACCATATCTCGACTCTAGCATTCTTCGTTTACAAGAAATTTCTGAAAATGAAGTTCAAAAAGCCTTAACTAACTCAGCATTGATTAAATACATATGTATTTAATCAATGCTGCATGTAAGACCTTCAGGTGATGTTTAATAGTTGTTAAAAATTTATATTATTTAATTAATTTCTCAAGTTTTAATGTTAAAATTGGATATAATACCTAGTCAATCTATTGAAAATTTAGGAGTACCAAAAGGAAAAAGAATTGATGCAATATTTAGAATTTATTCTGGAAAAACATATATATTTTATGATAAAGTCTTGTACATTGAGTTTGATGAGTATTTGTTTAGATCAAAGAAAAACGGCCTTATTTCAGAATTATTTGCTGGAATAATACATTAGTTAAATCTGATAAATTTGACTTGACAGTTTTCCGATTTAAATGTGGTCTTATCGATCAAATAATAAAACTAATTAATCGTCTGTGATTCACTCAAGATATGCTTCACATTTTCATATGATTTTTTTCTAATAAATTATGGATATAATTAACTGTAATCATGAAAACTCTGACTCAAGTGACTCAGATGATAACTCTTATATAACTATTAAAGAAAAAGAATGGAGAAAACTTGACTTAATGACAGAAGACGATATGAGAAACAATAGAGATGAAATTGATGATTGGTTTCACGTTTCTGCTAATAAAGAATTATCTGAAGATTTTATTAAAGAACTAGCTGACCCGGTGAACTTCGTTTCACCTACAATTTAATTTTGAATCTGCAAAACCGAATGCTTTGAAAACTTGCAGATGTTTTAAACATATGATAAGCATAATAAATTTTTGTTCAAAATATTTTTACTTATCCTCTCCAAAAAATTGATGACGTCAGCCCAAAATTTGCCAAATGAATCCTATCTAAAATGTCCAAAATAGGATGAGTCTATACTTGTGATTTATTATTCCATTCATATTTTTTAGATTTGCTTATATAGGGTGACTCAAAAAAATTAATGAATGGGTGAATTAATTTTATTGATTTAATCAGGAACTGCAAAACCGAATGTTCTGAAATCTTGGAGATGCTTTAATGTTATCATAAGCATGGTAATTTTTTGATTAAAATGTATTTGTTCATTCTCCCTAAAAAATTAATGGCGTCACCGGAAAATTTTGCTGAATATGTGCAAAATATGATGAGTTTTTACTTGTGATTTATCACTGCATTAATATTTTTTTAGTTTTGCTTAAACGGGGTGTCCCAAAACATTTAATCACTGGGTCAATTTATTTTATTGACTGAATCAAGAATTGCAAAACTGAATATTTTGAAATATTGCAGACGTTTTGAAGTTACTGTAAGCATGGTAGCTTTTCAAAATATATCTGTTTATCAAGCCCAAAAACTTGATGACGTCATCTCAAAATTTTGCCGAATAAACCCCATCTAAAATGTGCAAAATATCATCAGTATATATTTGTAATTTATCATTGCGTTCATATTTTTACTTCCCGAGCGTAAGCAAAGGAAGTATTGTAATCGTGTCCGTCGGCCGACTCTCTACTTTTACCTTTTCTCGATCTTTCATGATCCCTAGAAGACGAAGAAATAGGTCTCCCATTTCCATCTGTCTGTCCGTCTGTCCGTCTATCCGTCTATCTGCCATCCCGGATTTTTATTGGACAGATAATCTCCGAGTACGAAGTACTGGACCGATTGTTGTGAAATTTTGTACTTATATTAGGAATATCATGTAGATGGTAAAACACTAACCAAAATTTGTCTAATCATCCCTACCACTAATGCGATGACTTTAAAATTGTACATAGTAAATCGGTTTTAAATTGTATAAAATAACATAGTGTTTTACGACTCCGAATTGAGTTTCTACCGGAAACGTCCAGATTTTTGGAAAAAAAATCAAAATTATAAAACAACATTTTGAAATTTAATTTTGAATCTGCTAACCTGAATGTTTTGGAATGTTGCAGATGTTTTAAGGCTATAAAGAGCATCATAAATCTTTAGTCAAAATATATTTGGTTATCCCCTCCAAAAACTTGATGATAAAATGTACAAAATATGATGAGTCTCTCCTTGTGATTTATCATTCCATTCATATTTTTTGGATTTGCATATACAGGGTGACCCAAAAAAATTAATGAATGCGTAAATATATTTTATTGTTTTAATCAGGAATTACAGAATCGAATGTTTTGAAATCTTGCAAATGTTTTCAGCTCAAAAGTTTGCCGAATAAATCCTATCTAGAATATACAAAATATGATGAGTCTGTACTTGTAATTTATCATTCCATTCACATTTTTTGAATTTGCATATACCGAGTGACTCAAAAAAATAATGAATGCGTAAATTTATTTTATTGGTTTACTCAGGAACTACAAAACCGAATGCTTTGAAATCCACTGCGAAAAAAAAACATAATAGACATGCAGTCGTCACGTTTCCGACAGCGAGGGAAGTACTGTCTAAACTCTTTGGACCAATTTTTTAGATTTGCTTTTACTGTGACTTAAAAAAATATATGGATCAATCAATTTATTTTATTGAATAACTCAAGAGTTGCAAAAATGAATACTTTGAGATCTTGCAGACGTTTTAAAGTTATTGTAAGCATGGTAAATTGTTAATCATTAAAAATTGATGGGACTATAATTTTGGAGATACAATACAGTTATTTTTAGTATTAGTTACACTGCACCAATCCAAGGTGATATACGTGTTGATTGTAAATGTTGATTTGGTCATCACAAAATTGTGTGACGAAAAGACGCAACTCGAAAATGCTGAATATGTTACATTATACTTTTGGTGTGAAGGAAGTTCTATCGAAAAAACGTTCGATCAGTTGTTTGACAATGGTTGGTATAAATAAAACTGAGTAGATGCTCATACTCGAAATTCGAAGCATCTACTCGAATATCAAATCCAAATGTTTCTAGTTTTTCTAGATGATGCTAATACTTCAATAGGTACCAGTTGATGCTCAAGTAGCATCTTGATACAACAAAAAAGGAAAACAGTGACAGTGTTCAACCATCAAGGCAAAAATCGGGCCACCAAAATATAAGTCAGTATGGGGTAGACACCTTGAGATGGGAATCTCTATGGCCAGTGTTAGAAAAAACGTACTGCACAATTTATGCATAAATAAAAGTTAATTACCTGAAAAGTTTTCGATATTCCCGCTGCTAATGTGTTTTTCAAACTGAATGCACCTTTTGACGACGCTCCACGTTCATGAAAGTATCCATGTTTAGTCAAAATTCACTTTTACAACGATCCTACTCGTTTTCTAAGCTGCTTTACAGACAGTTCAGTTATTTGCCACGCCGATGCTCATTTTTAGATTAAATGCTCACAAAACGCGTAGGTAGATGTTCAATTTGTGTCCGGGGAGATACAATGTTTCCAAGTAGGTACTCAGTACATAGAGTAGATGCTCAGGTATATAAGATTATTACTCTTTCTAGGTACTTTGTACTTCGAATATGAGTATCTACTCACTTTTATTCATACCACCCAATGTCTCGCTTCAATGTTTGATTATGTTGATTATGAGCACAACGCTGATCAACTTCCGTACTGAAAACTTCAAATCAAATTCTCGAATAACGGTAAAGTTTGAGGTTTTGTCGAAACCAACAAAGTGAACATAGGTAAATAGAATGGCAGATCAAAATTAATAAGAAACTTTCGCAATGCGTAACTGAATTCACTTTAACCAACACTTTTCTTGAAATAAACGACGTTTTTTGTTACGAAAAAACAAACAACGACTTGAAATGCAATAATACTTTTCACAATCGCACGGAAGAAATAGTTTTGTGTGACACGTCAGTCAGGCGACAGATCCGTCAGGAATGGCCAACTATTTAAATTGATTCGAAATGGCGATTCCCGTGCAAAATTTTTAAAATTTTTTAATCTTTAACCGGTCTCATTTTTCATGAATATTCTTACATATAAACCTTCTCCTGACGATAAGGAACACGCAAAAAAAAGAATCGTCCGATTCGGTGCGGCCGTTCTCAAGTTATGGGCGTACATACATTTCGGCGATTCATTTTTATTAATATAGATTTAGGTCAAAAGTTGATTGGGAAAATATATCATACCATCAAAAATTATCTGAAGAGTTTATTAGAAAGTTTCATAATGCACTCGATTGGAACGCAGTATCACGTTATCAAAAATTATCTGAAGATCTTATAAAAGATTTTGCAGATAAAGTTGATTGGCACCCAATATCACGTTATCAAAAATTATCAGAAGAATTTATTAGGGCATTCAAAAACAAACTTAATTTATTCATAGTATTATGCTTTCAAGAGTTATCACAAGATTTTGAACTTTTTTGAACAGCACACAATGAAAATGTTACACATACTTTTTTAATATAACTTTTAATTTAGTATACTTTCAATATAACAATTTGGAGATTTCAACACACTACCATCTCTTTTTTTTTACAGTAAATTTTTCTGAATCAAGCGGGAGTAAGTGCCACAAAAAAGCCAACAGTTTTAGTTCTTCCGGCTCAAACTCTTCTTCAGGGAATAACAAACCTTGTACTTCGTCGAAATAAGGGTGGGCTGGGTTACTCAGTTTTTTGTATAACCTCATGTAAATATCAGCAAATGTTTTCTCGTTCATTTTATATTTCGCTAGGTCCGCTGCTTTTTGTGCCCACTTCTTTATCTATCTATATTTAAATATTTATCCTCAAAAACAGTCATAAAACTTCTTATATTAAGTTCTTTTGTATTCTTAAACAATTTCCAGTTTACTTTGGCCTAAAAGAAAAGAATGACATTTTTTTTAATCAGTAAAAATCACGTTAACTTACCAGTGAAGTGAAGTCTTTAGCGTTATTCAATTCTATTTCTAGTTTTACTTTGTCCATTTCTAGAGATTGTTTAACGTTATTGAATTCCATTTCTAGTTTTACTTTATCCATTTCCAGAGATTGTTTAGTGTTATTCAATTCCGCTTCTAGTTTTACTTTGTCCATTTTTAGAGAATCTTGTAAGTGATCAATTACCATCTGCAGCAAGGTTATGTCGTCCGGGGACAATTTTTGAGATATACATTTAGGGATATGGTGTGCCTGAGAAAATTTATGTTATTTGACTAATTTAAATAAACAATAATAATTTACCATGATTGATTTTTCGTTTTTTTTAATCACTAATGAACACTCTGATGAACATATACAGGGCTTTTATAAATGATTCTAAGGTTTTTCGAGTGTGAATTACAGTAATTCTCGTTGATCGAAGCTCAAAACAACAAAACAGTCATTTTCAAAACTCCTGGTGGTCGCGTACGAAAATTTTGTAAACGAAGAGCGGCTATATGCTGTAACCGCTTGTAAGCAAGAATATCTAGCCAAATACCGTAATTTAATAATTCAAGAAACATCGTTGGAGGCTCACATTAAAGATGTAATCAACAGATTTGTTCGAACTGGCAGTGTCAACAAAGAGAAATCTGGGGGAAGACGTTGAGTAGGTATCTCAGAAAGTTGTTGATGATTTGAGACGACTTGAGCAGAATCCGTAAACATTTTTGACGAAATTTCCTCTGTAGTCAGGAGTTTCTGTTGCAAAATGAACAGTGGGCCTTGAACAAAAGTGGTGAACATTTTCTGTGATGTTTAACCGCTAAAAATTTTGGCTCTTTTTAATGTAGTGAATTAGTTTTATTTTTTAAGAAGATATGAAGCATTTAGGCAACCAATTATACACATACGTGTGGTCTTTGTCATGCGTGCTTGGGTATTTAGTACAGTTCAAATCGAAGAGGCGGCACGTCTACATGACCTACTACGACCCTATAATTATTTATAGAAACCGTGTATTAATGAATGACGACAAATGACAATCAACGAAAATACTCTACAATGACAATTGACAACAGATATAGTTTTGACAGATTCTGTACAGAATTGCCAACATGAAAAATAAAAAAAAGTTGTACTATTGGTTGCATACTAAATAAAGCAATAAATTTCTTTAATAATAATAATTATGTTGGAATCGGCCTAAAGGTTTTTTGTATCTATTGATTTATATATTTTAAAACTGTATCATGTTTTTTTCTGAATAACACATCTAGAAAATTTAAGTTAATAATTTATTTAAAAATAAATTTCAGATTCAGTTGTTACGTCTGGCTCACATTTTAAAAAAAATCATAAAAACAGGGTAGTTTTCTTTATTTTTAGCATAAAAATCTGGCTGACAGCAAGAGCCTAAAAACAAGTCATTTACTCAATTTTTTGTGTTTTTGAAAAGACCTCAATGGGATGTTTTTCAAACTCAACAAACTTCAACGACTGAAACTTGAAAATCGACTCATTTTCCCAAAAAATTGATGTTTTTAGGAAAATCTGAGTTAGAAGCTAGGGGTTAAAAATAAGGGTAAAAAGTCAAATTGAACGACTAAGAAAACTATACATAATAATCTGAGTTAGAACAGTACACATACTAGACTACTTAGATACTACCCACAAATTCCCCTAGAAGAGCTACCAACTACCAGAAAAGAACTAAACTTGCACATGGTTACCCATGTTTAACGATTTTAATCAGATTTGATCACAACACCCATGTCAATCATAAGAACCATACAAAACAAGGGGGGGGGGGGTGACAGTTGTACCAATTACAAGCAAAATTTGCTAATACCATCTGAAACTATAGTTGCTGATAATAATTAAAGCTCGAAATGTATGCATCAAAATATCGAAGAAATACGCTGTGTTAACCCAAACATCCCGTCTTAAATTGACATGTATGTGAAAAAAAATTGAAAGCCCGAGAAATAATTCAAAAATTGAAAATTTGGCTTTGGTTGTGATCGTCTGGCAAAATGGAACCCTACATTGTGTTTTTGAAAAATGGCGGGATGCGTTCAATTACAAATGGTGGACCCCAAGGTTGAAAAAGTACCGCAATATAAAACACAGAGTAAATGAAGGAAAAACAAACTTTGAATGACTTTGAATGAAATCAAATTAAACGTTCTGAATCGATCACAAATTTAATAAAAACAAAGCAAAATCTGAAGTAAAGTAACTGGATTCGAATACACAAGTTATTACGGACGTGTGTCGGCAAATTTAAATTATGGCAGTCAACAAGAACTCAAACTTTTAACAAAAAAAAGTATCCAGCGGCACCAGAGCGTTATAAGAGTGTGGCGATAGACTATATCAATTTCATTCTAGAACATAACAAAAGTACCCATAGGGGGCGTTGTAGCACGAGCGGAGTTTGGGACTTCTGGTCGTGGCTGTTCTCCTACCCAAGATGGTGATTCTATCTATTGCAAGCACTGCCGCATAGTACTTCTCTATTACGGACAGAGCCTGCATCTTTTGTGCAGATGGCGCCATAAATCCCGTCAGCTCGACTAGGAACCGCGCCTTCCGCTTCTGCCACGTATTTCGGTGTTATTTACTTCAGTTACATTTTCAATATTTAATTTTTATGACTCTGATATTAACGACAACTGCACAAGTGTTAAAGTTTCAAAAAGAGCAGTAAACAACATTTAAACTCGCCATACAATCTTGTGAAATTTGAAACAGCAAAGATTGCTTATCTGAGATTAATATTGGACATCAGCAATTCGTATGATGGAAACATTCATCAACAAAACATTTACATAGAAAAAACTAGCAAAGATTTATAAAAATAAAAAAGATCTGTTGTGAAATAAAACTGCAGATAAAAAGTTACGTCAGATTAGGAACTGCAAAGTGTTGAAAGTTTACGTTCAATTTAAATTATACAACAAAGAAAATTGCTTAAGTTAAAATTGTGAGATAGAGAAAAATTGTATGAGGTTAAAATTGCAACGCTAATAAAATTACAAAGAGTAATAATTTATGTCCATTCGAGTTGTTGGTTAATTTTATAAAAGTAAAGTTATTCAGCTGCATTGTGGGCCATCGTTTTACATTTCCCCAAACAAATACAAAATAAAAAAAAATATAACAGGCAATCTGGAGGTTCAAAATAGCGTCGGACGAATGCGTCGTTCAAAAAATATGCGTCAAAAATATGTGTACCAGAAATGCGATCAATCCTATGACGCTATACAAATAATGGTCTAAATAGAGAACACAGGGAAGCTTCATAATTTAAATATTATCTCTGGTTTAAATCAAATGACGGTTGCGGACTCCTCAATTTATGTTGGTAGCAGTGTTTGTTTCTAACTAGGAATAAAAGTAACTAGAAGAAATGTCATAATATTTTTTACTTCCTCTTGTCTTGTTAAAGCTCGTTTACTGTCGTCTGAACTAACTCGGTAAATTAGCCTTTACACGCACCCTGCCTGTAAAGCGTTACCGTGGCAGCTTTACAGGCACCGTGCCTGTAAAACGTTGTCATGACAGCACCGGAATCAAACACACGTTCGCTGCGTCGGCCTTTTTCTTAATATCACCACCACAGATATCACTAATACTGTGCTAATACTAACGTTAAAATCACCTTCAAACTCTTCATCTTCATCGAATTCCACAATTAACAGAGCTCAGAAACAAAATTAAACTATTTAAATTATTAATCGAATTTACAAATTGACAGTCCCGTTATTTTCAAACAATTCAATTTTCCATAGTTACCGGAGCAAACTATGAAAAATAACTACAATTTCTATGACTTATTAGTGGAGTGCCGTAAGGTTTATACCTCGGAACCCGGTTCCACTGAATGGATTTTTGTAAAACCTTTTGGAATGTGTTTTTAACACTAAATAGTCAAATGTTTACCCATTTATTTTTGCCGATCTCAATTTTTTAATTATTAAAATAAATAATAATAATTTTTTCGGAGTTTTCATTCATTTTCTATTAAAAACTCGAAATTTTTTGCTCTCAAAGTTAGATTTTTCATAGGATAACTAGTACAAAACTGTCCTTGGGGCCTCAAATAGGTTAAGAAACATTTTTAGCGAACGCCAAAAATAAGAGTAGCCTCATAGATAATATGCTACTAAACACACTTGCGGAAAATAAAATATTTTTTTGCCAAGCGGAAACTGATGCCGACCGATTAATAATTGAAACCGTCATTAATTTGCAATCCGAAAACGTTGTAGTTTCTGTGGATGTATTAGTTTTACTGATTGCGCTTTCACCAACAAATCAAGAAATTTTATTTTCAAAAACTAGCAAAAGGCAAAACACCACAAAAAGTATACTCATCTAAAAGCTTGGAAACAGTATTACCAAAGTGTAAACAGCATATCCCTTTTTTAGATTCTTTCACTGGCTGTGACACGACGCCCGCTTTTTCGCAACAGGAAAAATTGTCTTTGCAAAAAATTTAGAGAAACGACCGGACTTACAAAATGCTGTAGCAGTTTTTGAAAATGAATGCAGAGACGCCAATGACATTTTTAACGCTGGTTTTATATGCACCCTCGCTTTATACGCTGCCTCTCAAAAATAAAAGATCTAAATACATTAAGGTATAACTCTTTTGCAAAAGCAACCGCCAAAAATAGTTGCGTTAAATTACCGTCTTTGGCACCTACTGCAGATGCCGCTTTTGGGCACTTCAAAAGAGTATACCTGCAAATTTAAACATGGCTCGGAAGAGAAATATTACCAGAAGAATCGGGTTGGAAATATGAAAGCGAAATACTGATACCAGAAACAATGACGTAGCTATCAGCTCCACAGACCTTACTGAAAATTATTTTTTACAGATGCAAAACAGGATGTATAGCATCTTGTGGGAGCAGGAAGAGTGGATTGAATTGCACTGTAGCTTGCTTAAAATGCAATGGCAACCGTTGTACTAATACATCACCTATCATCAAAATTAATGAGGTGGATGACAATGATAATGTAGATAATTGACTCAAAATTTTTCACTTTTTATAAAATGAAATAATAAACATTTATTTTTTTCTGAAAATGTCGTCTTTTTCTATTAATGCAGTATATTTTACCTATTTTTTGAATCTTTGGTCCGATATGTATACGATTTTGAGCAACTTGCCTTGTTATCATTTTTTTTGTAAATTTGTTATTTTTAGCTAAAAAATTATACATTAAAATGTTAAAGTTACTATACAAATATCATTTATTGTATATAAAACTGAAATCTTTAATACAAAATTTTTTTTCTTCATATTTTTCTCATTCTTCAATTAATTGTTGTTATAAATTGTTGTAATGGAGATCGGCAAATTTTGATGGGTAAACTTTTTCATTTAACCTTTTAACAATGCAATCGAAAAGTTTCACGAAAATCCATTCAGTGGAACCGGGTTCCGAGGTTTTCATATTTTTATGTCTTACGGCACTCCACTAACTGTAATTTCAAGTAAAATTTCTAGAGATGCCAAAGTTGTTCATTTTCAGGATTTTCAGCAAAAGGAAGTAAAACATTGTACGCGGCTCGCTTGCAACTAGCCTTTACTGGGGCTCACCGGATTACAGAGCTCGCTCCTACGTCGCTCGCCCTGCAAACATTCCGGCTCGCCCGTAAAGGCTAATTTACTAAGCTTGCCACGTAAATAACTATAACGACGCGTTTTATTTCCGACAAATTGACACTAGATTTACCAGAATATTACAAGCTATTTACTGTTTCCTTCACTTTCATTCAGGTCACACGAATTACAATTATAGTGAAACAAGGTTTTTATGAGCGTCGACTATTTAAATTTGGCGCTTGCCTTTGGCGGTTGAGGACTCCAATGTCAATAAGGGTGGTTTTGCAAAATCCGCCTCTATGTCGCATCTATATTAATCTATGGTCTAACTTAAAGGAATAAAATACACGTCCCACAATGTTTGTTAATTTATTCAATAAAATTTTACAGATCAATCATGTGCTCGGTTTGAGAATACCCTTTCAACATGGTCGCTGCCAGAACAAAGAATTTACCTAATGTTAAATTATGCCACGTTTTATCAACGATTCAAACTAGAGTTTACATTATGTTAAATTATGCCACACTTTATCAACGATTCAAACAAAGGATTTACATTATGTTAAATGATGCCTTGATCCAAGTGACTGGTTACTTAAAACCATTAGCTTTGAGAGTTTATATCGCGGACTGTTTATCCCAAACTAAACACATGATAAATAAACGACACAAAATGTATAAGGCGTTGCGAGGAAAGCTCCTCAGTAATATGATTATCCACGTTGCGAGAAAATTATCTCGGTAATGTGATGATAATAATAACGATGATAACTGCCTAAGGTGAGAAATCTTTAATCCCCCCGTACCTTAGTTCACGATATTATGAATTCTGCTGCACTTTTCTACGGTCTTTTTCCACAGTTAGGTTAATTTAACTGCCGTAAATGAAACATTAGCAATCGTGTGCGAAGAATTAAAAAGTATTATAATGTAACACTTAAGTATTAGGATCCAGAAACCTTATTCATAATTAGACAAACAAAATCAAACGAGACGTGACTCAGTGAATTTCATGAAATCTCTTAACAAGTGTTTGTCTAAATAAATTTATTGTCTATTAAATTGTGTTAGAACCAGTTAACGAGTAAAATTCTAACCTGATCGGTGAATTTACAAACAATAAAACTAATTTACAGCATGTGTAGCGTCGGTCGAAAATTAGCACTTTTTCCGCAAGAATTAGCTGAGCATGTTAGGGAAAACGGGGGTGTTGTCGTCGTTACTATGTTTAACGATTTTTTTTTATTGAATTTTTTTTTCAAATTCAAATTATTCAAATGTGATTTCGCGCCGCTGTTAATTATTTTCAGCGCGAAAATTTGATTAAAATTCGGTCACCACAATAGCAATGATAAAAATTTGGACACCTTACTTGGAGAAAGTTTTGGCATTTTGGACTCGAAGTTCAATTGTCAATACCAAAAGAAGGACGACTGACAAAATTAAGAATGAAACGGGTAAATGACAAAATAAGTAATTAGAAGGATGCTACCTACCTGAAGAGTTAAATAAGGGACAATTATATAAAATAATTTTAAGCCGGACGCGACCTATTCAATATACTTACCAATAAACGGAATGTCTCCAGTTCGGTTTAGGATGTCTTAATTACTGTTTTTTCAGGTAAAGATTCTACCGAAATGTCTTGGTATTAGCTGAATAAAGATACAATTTGGAAATTTTACAAAAATGTGGGTAGATATGCACTGAATCGGTAAATATGCAGTAAGATTAAAAAATATGCAAAATATGCAGCTTTTTAAGAAATACATAGGTATGCACTTTGCATACAATCCGAGCCTTACTGATCAATGATGCTGTACTCATTTCACTTGAACAGCGATGGTGTATTGTTGGTTGCCTAAAAAGTGCATGCTTTAAAAATATAGTTTAAAACGTATTACATACGCATTTAAAATTATCCAATTGTCTATAGTTATCTAAATTTGCTTACACCTACTTGGTACCCACCGGGTCAAAGTCTGTCTTTTTTATTCAACATTTATTACTGTGACATTATACCCAACTGTTATTCGAACTGGTGCAACTCTCGTCCACCAGCTGATTTTGACATTTCAAACAGCTGTCAAACTCTCCAAAACATAAAGCCCTTCCCCAAAAGCGCGTTCTCATCAAACTAATCAAATTATCACTCTAGAATGACAAACGTACGTAAAGAATTTGCGTAAACGATGTTAAATAACCTTGGTTATGGTGCTTGACGAAACGCGTCCTATATTACGATGTTCCGCAGTAGAAGTTGGTTTGGTGGTGGATGGGGGCGCCCGAAGAATCCTCACTCTTTGGAGCACCTGAAGTATCTGTACAATGTCCTTTCACGCAACCAAACGGTGTCCGAACACAACCGTGGTTTGCTAGTGGAAAGTCTTCGATCGATTGCAGAAATTTTAATTTGGGGCGACCAAAATGACTCTTCCGTTTTTGAGTAAGTGAACGTGCGTTTAGTACTGGTTGTAACGATCAATTTCAGTTTTTTCTTGGAGAAGAATATGTTGTCGTTCTTTTTACGCATAATGAGACAACGAAGTGGAGGCTCAAGCTTTGTTTGCGTCCAGTTGCTTCAAACGCTTAATATTTTATTCGAAAACATTAGGAATGAAACGTCGCTGTGTAAGTACATTTTGGGTATACTGTAGTAGTGTGCTGGAATTTTTTTTTGCAGATTATTTGTTGTCTAATAACCATGTGAATTCAATTATTGTGCATAAATTTGACTTCTCAGACGAAGAAGTGATGGCTTATTACATTTCGTTCCTGAAAACGTTGAGCTTGAAGTTGAATGCTCACACCATTCATTTTTTTTATAATGAAGTTTGTAGTTTGAAAGATATTTAGAACATATTTTCACTTTTTTTTTTCAGCATACGAATGACTTTCCTCTTTATACTGAGGCGATAAAATTTTTTAACCATCCAGAATCAATGGTTAGAATAGCAGTGCGTACCTTAACTTTAAACGTGTACAAAGTAGAAGATGCAAGTATGCTTGCATTTATCAGAGACCGAACAGCAGCTCCATATTTTTCTAATATAGTATGGTTTATTGGGAAACATATCCAAGAATTAGATGCTTGTGTGCGCAATGATGCTGAGTAAGTTTCTCTTTTCCTTTTGCTATCTTTGTGATGAGAGTTGGCTGTGAGAGTCTGACAGTTTTGTTAATTTATTTCTAAATATGTACATGTTTGTTAATGTTGATATATATATGACAGTGCGTTCCACTCGCTGTTAGTCTGTACCCACAAAAAAATCCCAAAAAAAAAAACATTACCTGAGGACATTCTTTTACATTTCGGATGTTTGCTATATTATGACAATTGGTAAACTATCATACCATAGTAAATAAAAATGACTCCTGATATGTCAAAAAAATATAAAATAGAACAAATTCGTTTTTCTTTTGCTGGAAGAAGCGAAAGTTGTTACAGCGTCATAAGTTATATTTATGTGACGCATACTTTACGGGAAATGAAAGCATAAAATTTAGTAGCTAGAATAAACAAACGCAATTAAATAACCAACAGAACGTGAAAGCCTGAATAAGTGATTTATTATCGACTTGAGGAAAATCTCGTAGTAGTGGCCCAAATATTAAAAATTAAAATTCAGAGGAAATCAATGCAAGATACGATTTCCATTCAATTATTTATATTTTTATTCAACACGATTCGATTGCTCATAATTTTAGCAATGTATTCAGAGAAGAGATATTAGAGATAGGGGAAAACGAGGACCTACATTTTCGTGTTCCACAAGTTATGAAACGTCAAAACATTAAGGGCCGATTTACGATTTAATCAATTAAATATTTGATTGCGATTAAATTTTTAATCGGGAATTAAAGTACCACTTGACCGACACCACGCCAATCACATGTCACTAAACGCTTCATTAAAAGCATGATTAACTTAATTTCAGTCAAAATATTCTATAAACCGATTCTAAGAATTTTAAACAAAAAGATTGGGGACAGTGTAACCACGTATCCATTTTACAATTTACAGTGTATCATAAATAAATAACATAGAAATTACTTTGAGAATATTTTGTGGCTTTTCATCGTGGTAGTCCGTGACTGGTGCAAAATGTAAATAATATGAATCAAGGCTTACCTGCAATCACTTTGTTCTTTTATAGTAAATTCGTGAAGATAAAATAGTAAAATTAGATTCAACTTGCAGCGAAACCCAAACAATCTGTTGTGACCTAGTTTAAATTTATGATTTGATTTTAACGCTTGTTTTAGTTTACAATTACCTAATTTGAGTACAATAGTTAACATCGCTTTTTCCTATAATTTCGTAGCAAGCAATTTGTCTAAAAGAGATTTAATAAAAAAAAGTTGATTTTGAAGAATCTCTCACTGCATTCCGTATTTCATCAAACAATTGATTATAATCTTAATTTCTTAAAATAACATAAATAAGAATATTGTGCTAATAAATATCGCAGCTTGAGTTATATTTAGTCAGATATTCGTGCTAGAAATATTCAAAATGGGCCCTATTTTCCTGCAAATTTCAGAAAGTTAGGTTAGATTTGGCAGTTGTATAATAGGCTACAACCTGGTCAGTATCATCACAACGAAGTGGGAGAATTCATGGGATTGCAAAGACAACGTGATGGACAATGTTCTGTATATCTTGTATTTTCACAAAAAGTGTGGGTATTATTAGAAAGTACAAAAAATTAACAATATTGTGATAACCCAAACATCCCGCCGATAGCGTCACGTCATCTCGACCGCCCCTGACTTATATACAAAGCCTGAGATGGCGCGATAAATCCCGGCAGCTCGACTAGGAACCGCGCACTCCGCTTCTGCCACGTGTTATTGTGTTATTTAGCCTCAATTCCATTTAAATGTTCAATTTCTATGACTCTGATATTAAACTGCAACCGAACAAGTGTTAAAGTTCCAATAAAAGAGCAAAAACAACATTTAAATTCGTCGTACACTCTCGTGAAATATTTAAACAACAAAGAATTCTTACCTGAGATTAAGATTGAATATCAAACAATTTATAATGGAAGCATTAATCAACAAAATATTTACGTGAGGTTAGAAATTGCAGAGCATGAAAATTTACGTTCAATTTAAATTATACAGCAAAGAAAATTACTGAAGTTAAACTTGTGAGGTAGAAAAAAATTGTGTGAGGTGAAAGTGTGCAAAGCTAACAAAACTACAAAGAGTTTAATATTTTATGTCCATTCGATTCATTTGTAAATTTTTAAAAGTGAAGTTATTACAAAACAAAAACATAACAGGCGATCTGGAGGTTCAAAATGGCGTCGGACGAATGCGTCATTTCAAAAATATGCGTCAAAAATATGTTTCCCAGAAATGTGATCAATCTTGTGGCGCTGTGCAAATAATGTTCTAAATCAAAGGAATAAAATGCATGTCCCTCATGAGCCACCATGTTGTTAAATTGTTCAATAAGATTTTACAGTTCAAACATGTGCTCGGTTTTAAAATGCTCTTTCAAGAATTTACATTATGTTAAACGCAACCTTGATCCAAGTGATGGTTACTTAAACAATTAGCTTTGAGAGTTTATATCGTGGACTGTTTATCCCAAACAAAACGCATGATAAATAAACAACACAAAACGCCTCTGGCGTTTCGAGGAAAGCTTCTCGGTGATATAGCTTTCCACGATATTATGAATTTTACCGCAGTTTCTAAGGTCCTTTCCACAATGGAGCAACGTTAGGTTAATTTAACTGCCGTAAATGAACTATTAGCAATCTTGTGTGAAAAATTAAGAGGTGTTATAATGTAACACCGAAGTATAAGCATCCAGAAACGTTATTCGTAATTTGGTAAACAAAAAAACTCCTAGCAGGTGTTTTTCTAAACAAATTCCTGATTGTTACATTGTGTTGGAACTAGTTAACGATTAAACTCCGAGCATGAACTGTGAATTTACAAACAATAAAACAAATTTACACACGTGTTAGCGGCGGTCGAAAATTCACATTTTTCGGCTTCGAAAGCCGCAAGAATTAGTTACCCGTGTTGGGGAAACTGTGGTGTCGTCGTCGTTACGATTAATTGCCGTTAAACAAAGGCTCTTCCTTTTTTATTAACCACCAAACCAACTCAACTTAACCTAGCTAACTCACCACGTGGTTTTCACTCACACAACACACAGTGAAGCCTACCTCCCTACCAAGCCCCCCTCTTTTAACAACCCTCTAACTAAAATTCCAACCAGAACTACGCACTACCTAAAAGGCGTTAACGTGCACATGGTTGCCTATGATTAACGATTTTTTTAATTGAATTTTTTTTCAAATTCAAATTATTCAAATGTGATTTCGCGCCGCTGTCAATTTTTTTCAGCGCGAAATTTAATTCAAATGTGTTCACCACAATATCTAAACAAAATTTGTATTAATTAAAAAACTTATTTCAGCTTCCGTCCAAAAATAATATTGAAAATAAAAAAAAACAAAGTTTGAGGATAACTATATCACGTTTGAGATTATTTTGTTTTGTACAAAATGAATTACTACTCCCCGCCAAAATTAGACGTACGCCTAAAATTTGAAGACTCGCGAAAATTTCGAAATTTGGTCTTGAGGTGTAATCGTCAACAAAATGGACCCTACGTTGTATGTTTTTTATGGCAGACAGTGCCGGATTGTGCCGCCGGGACACCGGGAAATTTCCCGGTGAGCCCCGAAACAGTCTATTTCTTTTTTTTTATACAGTAATTTATATTTCACATATCATCATCATCACATATTAAATAAGAGCATCCTTTTACAGTGTAAACTCAGTACGAAACAATAGGTCTTCCGTTTCCGTCTGTCTGCCTGTCTGTCTCCGGAATCACTAAACCAGTTGTCAAATTGTATATGTGTTACGAATATCGTATAGATTACCAAGCGCTAATCAAAATTTCGCTCCTCATCCCTACCAACAATTTGTTGACGTCATCACCAAAATTTACAATTAGTAAATATTATTAAAATTTTATCAAATAAGATACTCTGCACATGTGGTTTATGAACCCCTGTTGAGTTTTTATCCTAGACATCTAGATTTAACTTTGAAACTACAAAACCGAATGCTCTGAAATTTTGCAAAAGTTTTAAGGTTATGGTAACCATGGTAAATCGTTAATCAAATTTTTTTCGTTTATGGCCCTCTAAAATAGTAATGACATCACTTTAGATTATTTTTTTCTTTAATTATATTTACCAAATATAAATTTTGATGATTCTATAAGCACTGTTTGTTATTTCAAATCCACATTTTTTTTTCATTTATTTAAGTTATTTTTTTTACCTGGTTTTTCATCTGTTTTAAGTAACTACATATATCATTTTTTTAAGCAGCAAGCCAATTTCGACGTTGAAGTTTTTTATTGCTTTTTTATAAATTAAAAAGTCAATTTTTGTCGTCAATGTTATTTTTAATGCATTTTTTAACATTTTATCCCATTTTTAAGGTTATTTTTTAAAAGTTGTGGATTTCTAAAGTTTTTGACTATGTTTCCAGCGGATCCACAAAGAAACCGTTGACTTTTAGATTTTTACAAAAAAATAAAAAAAAACTCTTCAACGTCAAAATTGGCCTGTTTAAAAAAAAAATAACTTACCTTATAATAAATTAAAAAACAAAATGTTGGGTGAAACGTACCATTTTACTTACTAGTAATTTCCCCCCTTTTTTTTGATATTATAATTATATATTTAATTTTATAGGATTGCATACTCTTGAATGTGTGATTCATGAATCCGCGTCGAGTTTTCACCATAGATATCCAGATTTTGTAAAAAAAAATAAAAATTGTATAACATTTTATAATTTAACTTTGAAATTTTCAAACCGAATACTTTGAAAACTCGCAAGCTTTTTACGATTATCCTAAGCATGGTAAATCGTTAACCAAAATTTTTTGGTTTATGGTAATTTATAATTTTGTGGAACAAATGTTCCTTGAATTTTATAGAATTACATGTTCCATGTATGTGTAATTTAGAATCTGTGTTGATTTTTCTACTAGACATCGAGAGTTTTGGGAAAAAATTCAAAATTCAAATACAATTTAACTTTAAAATTGCAGAAGGGAATGTACCGAAATATTTCAAACGTTTTAAGGAGATAGGAAAGATGATAAATCGTTAATCAAAATTTGTTCAATTACGGCCTCCTCAAAAATTATGACGTCATCCTAGAATTCTGCCGAACAAAATAAATGTTCTTTAAATTTTCCAAAAATTATAATCTTGCATGTGTGATTTATGAATCCGTGTTTTTACCCTTGGCATCCAGATTTTGAAAAGAAAATCAACATTGTATAACAATATTTTACAACTTAACTTTGAAATTACAAAAACTGGATGCTGTGAAACCATGAAGATATTTTTGTCCCTTCCTCTGCGTTGAAGACACAAAATCAACCAAATATAATTTTCATTTACCGCTGATGCTTGTAATCTGAACATGCTAAAAGTCAATTCGGTCGAAATATAAACATAAATAGTCGAATTTAAGCATATACTGAGAAATTGAGAATGTTAATATTTTTTCCTGTTAGTTATCTGCTTTAAATATATTTCATATTTAAAGACGCAGAAGTTGCGGGGATGTTAATTATGCCATTTTATAAAGGTTAACAGTTACCACAAAACGAAAATGGCAAAATCTGATTTTATAATTTTGGAAAGAAGCGGCATTTGGCAAGGGTGAGGGAAGTTATATCAAAATAACCTTCCACAATTTTTTTACTAGTTTTTTTTTTCTTGATAGCGTCATCAAAATTCCAAAAACAGTATAATTTTTTCAAAACGCCAATGTCGTCAGTAAAACTGAAAATAATAATAGTAATAATACCTAAACAACATCTGTACACAATACCACAGGGTTTACCATTGGACTCCCAAAATGGTGAACCCTAGGTTGGGAAAGTGCCCTTAAATAAAAATGAAAAATATGGAGGGCAAATTTTTTATTCCTCCATTCTGGAGCGAAAAAAATTCAACTAACAAACTAACATCAGGCACATTAAAACATCTGAAAAAAGTAATTAAAAAATATATGAAAACAAAACATGTCTCGTGTTTTAATACAAAAAAAAAAATACACACAAAGCAAAAGCAAATGTCGTTAAAGTAAGTGAATCGTCATACTAAAGTTATTACAATGGCGCGATGACAAATTTAAATATAAACTGTCGAAAAACGAACCAATTTGCTACAGAGGACATTGTAACGAGAGCGGAATTTAAGTGCTCGCCTTCGTTTGTCACACTTTTTCGATAATCTTACTCTATTGACAAGTACAACACACATACTATATTTGCGTGCCCAAAAGACCTACCGCATATTATACGCACTACCCTGTCGCGCAAAACAACCAACTCTATGACCAAACTGCACATTTCAAGCAAGTTTACAATGAAAAATCCATTTAAGCAAATGACATGAGAAAAAAACCGTCAGCTTTGAGTAGAAACTATGCGTTCCGCTTTCGCCACGAAATTTGGTGCTTTTGTTTCAATTAAAATAGTTTCTACATTTCTCGAACTTGAATTAAATCTGGATAAGTACCAGCGTGACTAGGCGGGAAACAAGCAACATTTAATTGCGCCACAAAAACAACAAAGAATTTTTTACATAGAATTAAATTATGCGTGAATTCAACCGAAAGTAAACCGCACATCTCATAAAACAAAGCACATATGAAATAAACACAACAGGCAATGTTTAGATTCAAGCTGTAAGAAAATAAGTCCACGATGATATTAATTTAACTGATGAAAATTTTCAAGGTCCTTCCTCTAAAAATGGATAACTTAGTTTAAATGCCATAAGTGAACTGTTTTAAATCTCGAATGAGAACTTAAGAAGTGTGGATAATATAATAACTTAAATAAAAACATCCGAAATTTTTAGTTATATCGTTACTAAAGCGGGTTAAGGCTGAAAAGTGAATTTCCTGCCACGTGTTTTGCGGGAACATTTCTATTACTGTAATTTGCAAACAGTAAAATCAAAACTACACGTGCTTCATTTGAAATTAGAAAATCATTAATAAACTAATATTACTTTAATTACATTCGTTAAGGGGGACTGTGCTGTCGAATGCGATTCATTTTTTTTCTTGAACGTAAGCTTGGAAGTACTTTCATGTTTTCTCAACGTTTCATGACCCCTAGAGTACGAACAAATACGTTTCCTGTTTCCGTATGTCTGTCGGGTGGCCCGTTTTTCGTGCCGCTAAGTGTATATATATTTTTTTTAACTAAATCATAACCACCCCTCATCCCCAAAACTTGAGAGTGGATTAAAGAATGATATGTTATTTATATACGAATTCTTGTAGCCACCAATCCCAAAACCGGTTAGCAGACTTGGTAGCCGAGCATTTGGACCACTTACACTACCTAAACGACATTGTTTGCTTAAACATCACTGACCTAAACCACGTGTTGACGGACCACCTACTTCACAAGCTCTTGATTCCTCTATACATATATTCCTTGACAACAGTAAGGAAACCAGGAGGAGCCGAAGCACTCACCAAAGCTCTAAATCAAAAATTTAGCTTGAATGAATCGAACGGAGGTATCTCGCACGAACTTTCAGCTGGAAAAGTCTCCTGCGTTGTTGCTTTGTTCCTGTTATCCCAAGTGTGTCTTATCATATCCCATTCACCCTTAGTGCAAACTCTAGCTTGGATTATCCTCAAAACCGATCGATCGGTGTTTGACAGAGGAGTTGATAAGTTGTTGGAAACGTACGAGATTGAGATGGGACAAAGTGGGAAAGTCGATGAAGCCAGTGGGTCTGAACTTAGCTTTAAAGATGATGTAGTAGAAGAACAAAAAAATATTACAGATGAAGAGAAGCAGAGATTGGCTACAACTCCTACAGAGAGTGATGGCGTGTCAGATAAGCCGTTCCTGGAGACTGTGTACAACGCGCTTGATTGTTCTGAGAATGACTACGCGGCACTTTTTGCTTTGAGCTTGCTCTACGCAATGGCGTACAATAAAGGTAAAGTTTGTTTAAAACAATCTACGTACCTCAGGTTTTGATTATTATTTTTGTTTCAGGAATCATGCCAGATATCCTAGAGCAAGTTTTAAAGCCGAAAAAGACGTACACTTCGAAAACTTCATCGCGCGATGTGCGTTATACGTACAACACGCATCTGGTAGATAAACTTTTGTACATAGTACTGCTTTCGTGCCAGCCTTCATGTCGAGTGAGGTTGGTGACCCTGGAACTAGCTTTAAAATTGTTAGTGCAATTAGTAATGGCGGATGGAAAGAGCGTTTTATTAGAATCCCATAAATCAACAATAGAGTCGGCTAAAACGCAAAGCACAGCCCTTTTGCGAAATTTTTACAAAAGTGAAGAAATATTCTTAGATATGTTTGAACACGAATACTGTGATATGTCAAAAAGTTCTTTAAATGTAGAATGGCTGTGTATGGACAGCGCGATACTGCTACCGCCCACCGGGACGCCTATGACTGGAATTGACTTTACGAAACGGCTGCCTTGTGGAGAGGTGAGTTGTAATCCTGTTAGTCATAATACTGTATTTATAAAACACCTAAAAACAATGTTTACGTGACAAAATGTTATAAAAGTCTAAAAAACTTATTATCAACAATATAGATAAGTGTTAATAGATTTTTTTGGGTGGGGCTTATATTACGTCTTTTTTTAATATATTTTTCTACAAAAAATCATTATCATGTTTTAAGTTTCTTGTTGTGGAAAGAAGATTACGAATATTAAGAGAGAAACAAAAGAAGATTAGCCCCGCTCACCCACCCCAACTCAATTATGATGATTTTTTTTTATTCGTCGTGAGCCAGGCGGCGGAGCTTAATTGCAAAATTCGTATTTTTCTATAAAATTTTAATCAGTTTGAACTTGTTTTCAGTTTTTTGCTATGAAAAAAAAATTACGTATACATAAAAAAAATGGTAAAATATAAGCCCCGCTGTGCTTAAAAAAATCATCACAGTTGAGATAGGACGGGTGGGCGGGGCATATATTTTGCCTTTTTTTTTTTAATATATTTCTCTACGAAACTTTACAATTTTGACCATATTTTAAGTTTCTTGTCGTAAAAAGAAGATCACACATATTAAGAAACAAAAGTCAAAAAATAAGCCCCACCCCACCTCAATTGTGATGATTTTTTTATTCGTCGTGAGCCAGGGGGCGGAACTTCATTGCAAAATCCGCATTTCCCTACAAAATTTGACCATTTTGAACTTTTCAGTTTCTCGATATGAGAAGAAAATTACGTCTACTAAAAAAAAAGGCAAAATATAAGCCCCGCCCACGCACAAAAAATTATCACAGTTGAGATAGGGAGGGTGGGCGGGGCTTGCATTTTGTCTTGTTTTTCTTTCTGTACGTCTTCTTTTCACTACTAAAGACTTAGAACTTTATAAAAATGGTAAATTTTGTAGAGGAATATGAATTTTGCAATTACCCTCGGTCTAACAAGGAATGAAAAATTCATCGGAATTGAGATGAGGCTGGGTGTATTATATATTTAATTATTGAATGAAAAATATCACATCTATTGAAATACATTTGAATATCAAATAATCTGCTTGTAGTATTAAAATATCTTTTAAAAAAATCACCAGACTGTTGTTTTTTTTAATGTGATTAAACAATTTGTTTAATAAAAATGCATTATGCAAAAATAGATTTTACAGAATATTTAAAAATTTTAGAAAATTAAAGCCACATTGAAACTGCTAAATATATACTGACTTTGTGTTTTCGTGGCTTGTTAGGAAACTGCAATTATTAATTTTTTTGGACAATTTTTTAAGTTTGAAAAATAATTGTCAATAATTTTAAACTCCATACCAACCAAAGTTTTTGGAGTTTTTGAACTACATAACCTAAAATTCAAATTAGTTTCAACAAAATATTTTGTTTTTGAGGCACAACATACAATTTTTTTTTTAGTGGAACATCCTGTATATTTTTTGCGCGCCATGATTGCCGATTTTTTAGGCTTTAGCGCCGACATATTTTTGAAATTTTGATGCAACATTCCAAGTTGTGCCAGTATGCCAATTAAAATTTTCAAAAATGAAAGGGTTCACAAAAAATTTCAATAAAAAATAAAATTTCGGGCTCATTCCTGTTTTTTCGGATACTTAGAGCACCATAGTTACTTTTTACGTTACGATCGTAAGATAAGGAAGTCTTTTAATAGGGTCTATCCGGTGAATGGTTACTTTCATGTTTCCTCAACGGTTCATGGCCCTTAAAATACGAAAAAGTAGGTCCTCGTTTCCGTTTGTCTGTCTTCTGTCCGGTTTTTTGTTAGACAGATAATCTCCAAAACTACTGGACTGATTGTTGTCAAATTTTGTACAATAAACGTAACATAAATATCATACAATATTACACTCTTACACTTTTGCTTTATGAATTCGCGCTTTTTTTGGTTTGTTGTTATTATAATTGTTATTGTATAAATCTTCTTGTTCTTTAGTCACATAATGCGTAGCCACGCAAACCAACCCAACGTTTCCATTTTTTTTTATCGAATCAAGTACGATTGACCCTATTTTCTCGAAAATGTAAGAAAAAAATAATTATAGTAACGGCTTCTCACCAAAAATAATGTTCGGACCATTTTGTTCCATTGTAACTTAATTAATTAATCCGTTCTCTCATCTGTTTTATGGAGACAAAATCAAGCAAATTGATGCTTATTGTCTAAATGTGCCAATCGTCCAATTCTTTCCAGCATAAACACCTGAAGTTAAGCATATTACTGAGAGTACATTTTTTCCCGTTCGTTATCTGTTTTAAATATATTTGATATCGACCGGTTTTTACTTTATATAAAAAGCACAAAACTCAAATTTTCTAATTTTTCAAAGAAGCATGAGCAGTTGAAGGGTATTTTTTTGTTTTAAAACATGAGACTTTTTTTTATTTAATATATATTTTTTTAATTACCTTTTTCAGATGTTTGAAGTGACAGATGTTAGTTTTTGTTACAAAGAGCAAACATTTTGAAATTTTAGAACAGTATACAAATTAATTAAATTCATTTATTTTTTATAAATTTCTTTAATGTATAATAATTTAATTAAAAACTATTACCAGTTCTATACTGACAACTGCAGCATAAAATATAAAGAATGTAAAACCATACCATAATACCTACATATCAGGAAAATTATTTGTTCTAATCTGTACTCAAAATTTTAAGGTTATGATAGCATGCTGAAGTATTCGTTGTCGTTCGAATAGTTCAAATTTAAACGCAAAGATTTTAAAATTTTTGAAAGTTTTAAAGAAACCTTGACTCCATTAAATAACAAATACTTGCTAATTTACGAAAAGAAGTGTTTATTTAATTAAAACTGTTAAATGTTTCTAAGAACAAAAAAATAAAAAACGAACTCATTTAATAAGACTTTTTTTTATCTGTCGGAATAATTGGAATAGTAATCAAGACATTGTTCAGTTTATTATGTATTGTTCCATATGTTCGAAAAAAAACTCGGTTAGTAAGCCATGAAATTTATTTTGAAAGTAATAATAATATTAAAATATATTTTCCAACGGAATGAACCAAATTACAAGAAAATTGCTAAACAAAATCGAGCATAAATGTACAAACTGAGTAACATTTTACAATATGTAACTAATCACTTGCAAGTAACTAAATTAAATTAAAATCCCTTATCTTTCAAAATGGCTATCGATGCAGTAGGCCAGGATTGTGCCAATCCACCTTAGATTCGGCATTGATTAAGTACATACATAAGAGATAGCGCACCAACATTTGAACGAAATAAAATCTACAACCATTTTGAAATAAATAATATTACATACCGAATGCACTAATAGCTAGTGTTCTTAAATAGGCGAATATTTTCAAAAATAAGCCTAATAGCTAGATATTTATCAGAATATTTAACGGGATATTTTCCGGCTATCTATTCACTAACAACACTGCTAATAACACTTTTTAAAATATTTATAGAAGATTGAAAATACATATCAAAGTCAACCTTGCTAATGTGTTAGTTCTATTTGTGTTGTAATAAAATGAGTATTTTAACCGTGAGTTTTTTTATTTAATAAACCGGGAACAAATGCAATACTAATTAATATCCTGCTTATAGATAGTGAACTAAAATTACTGAGCAAATGCAAGTGATTCATCAAATATGATACCCAAATCTTTAACCTTGTGAGTTATCTCCAAAGTAATATCATTGATCGTGTAGGAATACAATAGTGGATCTTTTTTGCTACATGACATGACATCGCATTTTAATATATTTAAATATAGTTTATTTAATCAACACCAGAGTAGCCTTTCAATATTAATTAATTAGATAAGTCATTAATGAGTCATAAAAACAAGAGGGGACCCAAATTTGAACCTTGCAGAAACCCCCAAGTTAGACATGAAATTACGGTATCTTAAGTAATGTAATCGATTAGTCAAGTATCTTTTTAATAACGTGGATGTAAATTTCGAAAAACCAAGGACTGACAAAATTTTTTTATAATGTTGACATTACAGCTACTTGAGACATTATTTGACTGTAACTGTCAAACTAAACGAGGAACGCGTTAGTTGTTGCCAACATAAATTTTTTAACATTAAATTTCAATAGTTGCTAAATAGACGACTTTTTACTCAATCAGATGTCATTTACATAGGTACTAACCAGCATAATATTACTTTAGTACGAGAAATGTGTACATTTCAAACAAACGAGTATCATTAGTAACTATAATGATTGTACGAAAAGATTATCACATTTTAATATGTTAAAGTATTCGTATCTTTTCCAGGTGGAGAGAGCGCGAAGGGCCATCAGGGTCTTCTTCTTAGTGAGAAACGTGGTGCTAACTCTCAACGGCGAAATGGAAACCCAGTTACCTCTTACCAACCCTCAAAGCTGCGTCCAGATCGATCAAGCATTGGACCTGAGTATATCTCGTTGTGTGTCAGAACTGCACGAATCAAACAATCGTTAAATTGCACTTACCTATATTTAAATAATAAAGAGTTTATACATAAACCCAAAAGAAAGTGCTTTTATTTTCGTTTTCTTCTCTTTTTTTTTTTTTTTTTCTTGTGACATCAACTTCTTTTCAACGCTTTCGACTTTTACTAAGCTTGTGGCGTGCACTACTCTGCATGGTTGTTAACTGTGGCACTTTCTTCATTCCAAGGTTTAACGATTGTCTTGTTCTGCGGTATTTCTCCAAGCAAAACCCCCTGATAAGACTGTTTTCGTTTTGTTGCAGATAATTCCGATCTTATTGCGTGTACGGTGCTCTGGAAGGACGGTACAAAGACGAGGAGGTTCCTAGTAATCGATGTCCTACAATTGATCCTCGTGGAACCCGATACCAAGAGATTAGGTTGGGGTGTCGCCAAGTTGGTGGGTTTTCTACAAGACATTGAAGTGACAGGAGACAAGGACGACTCCAGGTGTCTTCACATCACGATCCACAGACCCCTATCAGGGACTACCACCAATCGGGTTCCGCTTCTTAGTGCCAAGTTCGTGTTTGATGACAACATCAGGTGCATGGCAGCTAAACAACGACTAACCAAGGTCACTTTTGCATTCTTCCTGATATTTACTTGGTTTAAACCCCCCATTTTCCTTCAGGGTCGAATCAAAGCACGCCAGAAGAAAATGCAGCACATAGCCCGTCTGCTCGAGATTCCAGGACAGTCCGGCCCCCCGAGCCCCGCCTTCGTGGGCGGCGGTCTGTACAACCGCCCCACGGGCCGAGGAGTGCGCGACCACCGCCCCTTCGCCCTCTCTCGTGGCCCGGGGTTCGCCACCCCTCGCTGGGAGAGCCCTCCAGGAGTCACCCACCGGACGGACGAGTCGCGCAGACACCGGGACAGCGATCCCAAGATCACTGCCAAGAAAGAGGATCGAACGCCTAATCGATCCCGCGACTCCTCGTCGAGTAGGACCAAGTCGCGGGAGGGCTCTCCGCGGATGCCGCGCCCACGCTCGGAGGAGATCCCGTTGGAGTTGATCAAGAAGGCTCCGAATTCTGTCATCGACATGGCGCCGAAGATCGCGATCGTTCCGAGGCCACAAGTACGGGAGGATGAGGAAGCAGCGGCGAAGAAGCCGGAGGTAGAAGCCGACGTATCGATTAGTTCTGAAGAGACTTCGTTCATTGCCAGTGAGAGAAGGAATTCCAAAAAGGGGGGGAATGTGGAGACCGTGTAGTATACGGAGATGTGAGACGAGAGTTTGTTGAGTTTAGTGTTGTAATAATTAATAAAAAAATTTCTTTGATGTGTTTTCGATTTATAGTTTGCGAAAGAGGATTTCATGGCTATTCCAAACAAAAAAGTTATCCAAATGTATTGAGACAGAACTTTCCGTTGTATTTCTCAAATCAGATTATTTTCTTAGTAAAATTCACCAAACCAGTTAGTCAATTTGACAATACACATAAAAAAACTTGTTAAAAATTATGTATATGTATAAACCGCTCCGGATGTTTTTAGACAAAAGTGAACTAAAATTTTTCTTCACGTTGGATAAACTGGTTTGCCTATCGCGACATCCACTTCCAGACTTTTCTTTAGCGAACGCCGTCACCGACAATGAGTCACTCATCATCGCCACACATACTAGAAAACCCATAGGCAGCGTATGGGTTTATTTCGTAACAATAAAATAGATGAACTGAAATATAAAATAGACAACTACAGTAATTATGTAGTAATACCATCAAATATCGATGATGTAAAGAAAAGAAGTCTGAAAATATTTTAAAGACACCCTAAAAATGTGAAAGTAACAAATGAAAAGATTCAAAAATTGTAAATTAACTGTATTCAGGAATTTAAATATATTTAATGAAGAATATTAAAAATTCTGAAAAAAGTTTTATTCAACAAGTTAATAAATTGTGATAATAACCCAAACTTCCCGCCTTAAACTGACGCTTGAAAAAGTTTGAAAGGCCCGCGAAAAATTCAAACATTCAAAATTTGGGTTTGGCTGTGATCGTCTGGCAAAATGTAACCTTACGTTTTTTTTTTTTTTTTTTTTTTTTTAAAGAGGTGGGAAGACGTTCTTTCATACAAGTGAGCATACACTGCGTGCGAGTCGAGAGCGCAAAAAAATAAGAGATATCATTTTTGGGAGGGGGTTATAAATCGCACACCCTCTCTAGGAGGAAAAAAGCTGTGTGCGAGGGCGACCCGTGACTTGCCATTAGGCTGCCCAATGGGGGCCGAATCTCTTCTCAGCTCCAAAAACCCCCCAGGGTTTATTCACCCACATATGATACTTAATAAATGAAACACAAAAACATAACAGAAAGAGACAACCGCGAGTTGACAACCATACATATATGAAAAACCGAACAAACCCAAAAACCCTACACATATGTAAAATGGATGGCAGCATCCGAGTGTAGTTACACTCTTACAGCGACTTAGAATATAATATAGTTATATCAATTTCATTTTCTAGCACAGCAAAATTACCCATAGGGGGCGTTGTAGCACGAGCGGAGTTTGGGTCTCCTGGTTGTGGCTGTTCTCCCACCACGACGGTGATTCTACTCTATTCTATCGGCAAGCACTGCCGCCCAACATCCCTCTATCTAACGAAGAAACGTGCCGCGTTACGGTCGCACACTCGTGGTTGGAAATCACGGCTGTAAATGAATAAGCTGACAGCGTCACGTCATCCCGACCGCTCCCCTGACTTCTATCCTAGGCCTGCATCCTCTGTGCGAATGGCGCGACCGCCAGCTCGACAACGGACCGCGCACTCCGCTTCCGCCACGTTTTATTGTGTTATTTACCTCAGTTCCATTTTAATGTTCACTTTCAATGATTCTAGTATTAAACTACAACCGAACAAGTTTCAAAAAGAGCAATCAACAACATTTAAATTCGCCATACACTTTCACGTAAATTTAAACAGCAAATAATTCTTATTTGAGAATAAGATTGGACATCAGACAATTTATATAATGGAAAGATTAATCAACAAGATATTTACAAAAAAAAAAACTAGCAAAGATTTATAAAAACAAAGAAATCTGATGTGAAATAAAACTTGTGCAGATAAAAAGATTAAGTGAGATTTCAGATTTAAACTGCAAAGCATGAAAATTTACGTTCAATAAGATTTCACAGTTCAGACATGTGCTCTTTGAACATGGCCGCTGCCAGAACAAAGAATTTACCTGATATTAAATTATGCGTCACTTTATCAACGATTCAAACAAGGAGTTTACATTATGTTAAATGATGCCACATTTTATCAACGATTTAAACAAAGAGTTTACTGTTTACATTACGTTAAATTATGCCACACTTCATCAACAATTCAAGAGTTCACATTATGTTAAATGATGCCTTGATCCAAGTAATTGGTTATTTAAAACAACCAGCTTTGAGAGTTTATATCGTGGACTGTTCCCAGCTTTTCCCAAAAAAAAAACACATGATAAATAAACAACAAAAAAATGTATCAGGCCTTGCGAGGTATGGGCGTCTCGGTGATGTAAGTTTCAACGTTGCGAGAAATAAAATGTCTCGGTGATGTGATGATAACAATAATAATAACGATGATAACTGCCTAAAGAAAAAAATTTATAATTCGGCTCCTTTACACTGACTGCCTGACTCTTTAGGACCTGTACTAAAAATTCTGCTTACATATGTTTTCATTAAATTCTTTTTTAACTACATTGTAATGGAAGTTATACATTAATAATGTTTTGTAAAGAATTATATAATTTTTCTTGTCATAGAAATGACAAAGCAGTTTTTCTACTTTTACACCCGGAGGAATTTAAACTTTCCGAACCAAAGTTATTGAATTTGTTATGAGTAGTCAAGTCTACTGGAAAAGATAAATCGACTTCTAAAACATAACCAGTATCTGATAGTAATATACCGTTAACATTTTTAATTTACAAGTCAACCAATGAAAGTATTTTTGTGGTACAAGATTAACAAAAAGCCTCAAGAAGTTAGAAAATATTATAAATTATAATTCAATCTGGAAGAAATATTTTATTCGTACTCGGAATACAGTACAGATAATAATCATTTGAATTCATCTTTGACTTATGAAGCTTTACTGAATATTCAGAAATTAAAATCACTCGATAAAGATAATCAAATAAAATAAAAAGAGGAGAATAAAAATAAAGAAATTCAACATTTGAAGAAGAGAACCAAGATATTTTTTGACTCTGCACATTCCCTAAGCATAGATCTGGAGTAGGATTAAACTTCTCCTACGCTGTGACGCTGTGACACAGATCAATATATTGTGAGCACAGCATAGATATCAATCAGTAGAGACGGCTCGCCGTTTTTCGTGACCCGTTTTCGTGGGTGGTCGTTCGCATTATGACCGAATGAGGGCGCCCAACTGACGTCTAAAATATTTGAAATTTGGCAGTTTTGTTACAATATTTTTGCCAGTTTTGCTTGTTTAAGACTGCTTTTCCGGTAGAATTGTACAAATAGTATAAAAATGTAATTTTAACAATAAAAGGTAAAATCTTTGTCCGATGAATTTTCATACCGGATCCCTGTTGTGCGTCTTATTCTCTCCCTCATGTTTGGAATTCTTGGAAAAGATAGTAAACATAACACATTTTTTGTTTAAAAAGTCGTCGCAAACGAACAACAACGGTGGTTATGAATAAAATAAAAACTGTAACAAATCATCGTGTTTATATAATATATGGACTTTTCTTTTTTCTTATTGCGATTCACGATTATACGATTTGAGCAAACTAGACAGTTTGCAATAAACTGCGTACACGAATCAATTTTTGAAATTGTAAATGAAGTGATACTTTTTAAATTGGGTGGCGACATCTAGGAATAGTTTAGGCAACGACCACCCATGACGGCTTAAAATTCGGGTCAGAAAGAACAAAGGCGCCGACACGAGCTGTCTCTACTGATTGTTATCTATGCTGTGTTGTGAGTATTTGCTATGCAACCAATTATACTTACCACAAACTGTCAAAAATGGCCAAAGTAAATAAAATTTTGTGAAATTTATTAATGCATCATTTGAATTTTTCTTTTAATTCAATACATTTTTAATTTATTTTATCAAAATTATCACAATAATACATAGTTTATTTATTAGGAAATCACACTCAGTCTAATAAGTACATAAATCATGAAGCAATTTTTTTCATAATGTTATATCTTTATTTATCAACATTTTAAGCAAACAATTATGATTGAGAACAAGTTTAAATAATTGAAATTTATTTAAGATAAATTCTTGTGGTAAGAGTCCTGAGTTATCTAGAACCAGTTTCACGCCGCATTTCCAATCACAGCGATACGTGGAATTGACATATTTGTTTGTTTAAAGGAAATACATTTCATTTTAAATATTTACTTTTGTATAAAAAAGAGAGAATATGAGATAGAATAAAAAAAATTACAAAAAATATTATTACTTATTAAGAAAAATGATCATTAAATAAAAAACATTTCCGTCCAACGTAGACCAGTGCTAAAAATTGCTCGGATGTAAATATAAATATCGTAATAAGTAAGAGTTATTAGTTAGTACACTGTAGTTTTTATAACGGATTTTAACAGTACTCAAAATTTTTAGACAAGTAATTTAAAAGAAAAATAATATTCATCTTAGACTTTTCTGTCACAGTTATACCGATAACGGTTATTTTTAGATTCAGTAAATATTTGTTGATTTATCTGCTATGATCTTATTGGCCGTTGTAGGTAAATACAAAATATAGAAATAATACTGAAACATGTTTTTTCTAAAATGGCCCTAATGTGACATTACTCTGTAGAAAAAACAATAGTGTTTTCATTAGGGTAACAAATTTTCTTATACGTAAACGTGCGGACTTGCTTTTATTGTTTCTTCTTTCCATTTTCTGCCCACTTTTTCTATTTTTAGTTTCATCTTTCAAAACTAAAAACATTATTGTACGCCCCCCTTCTCTCTCCTAGTAAACATAGCGGTTTCGAGTATTAGTGAATTTAAATATTTGCACAAAAAATTCGTTGATAATGTATGAGTTATCAGTGAAACATGATATTTCTGAACAAAAATATGGAAAGCAAAATTAAGGTGTTTTTATAACTTTGGTTTTGTGTCTATTGGGTCATTTTCTCATTCGTATGTTATTACTTAATAAAATAGAATTGAGGTTAAACTATTTTTGCAGGTGATAAGCTTATCAAGTTGCAACTCAGATAGGTATTTTTTAATTATCATTTAATGTTGCAAGATTACCAAGGAGTGTCTGGAGT